ATATGCTAACACAAGCTGGGAGCTAAGTGTGTGTCAGCTGCTAACATTCTGGAGCAGCTGGACTCTGATTACAAGCTTCCAACAACACTGAAGTGATGAAGCGCATCAGCAACACTCTACTCTGAGTGTAAATCAGTTTTGGAGGTGGCAGTGGATACTGACAGAATTTTTTGACTGATAAAGTTGCTGCGAAAGTATTTGTGGACATCTGTTCCAGCTGTTTCCAGCAGCTGGTTGAACTACAAGTGTTCCATCGTGTAGACCAATTATGAGTATTATTCTGATATCAAACTGCTGTGAAGAGTTTGCTGGTAACTACAGGGTATACTACAAAGCAAGTTTGATATAGCTGGGCTTTCTTTGTGTAAGCCGGCTCGACAAAAACAAAAGCCGCAATCAGGGATAATGAGAATCACGAAGGTGGTTCAACTTTCTTTGTCAACTCAGGCTTTCTGCTTCAGACTCTGGTCAAATAAAAAGGAGCGTTTAACGCGTCATGTGACTCTTCTTCTACACAAAATGAAACGATCCGTGTGCAGCTGCTTCAGTCAACACGTTGTTTTAATGGAAAACAATGAGGACTATAAACATTTATGAAGGTAAAAAGCGCTGCTACTGCAAATGGTGAAGACAGGAATGCTGGCAGAAAACTGTTAAACGTGTTCATGTATAATATTTTACCGATGCAGCCGCTTATTTCCAACTGACAGCTGCAAGTTAAAGTTAAACTTTAAACTTCATATATTTAAACCTGGTTTTGTATTGAAGCGCATTTAGGTCTGACACTGTCCCGTAATGCAGGATAACACTTTAACTTTTGGCCCAATCAAAGTAAAACTAATGTTACTGACTGAATATTCTCTGTAATAAATACCAGCAGAATAATCCATGTTCTCATCTATGTTCTATCAGCTGCAGTACCAGCAGAGTAAACGGACCTGACAACAAATCAGAGCCAAACATAAAAACATATTTATGTGTTTTCTGCATCGCCAACAAAATACATGTCTGGTTCCCATGGCAACACGATACATACAGTGTGTGATACTGTAACTACACGGCTTTATTCAGTGATATTAGTAACACACAACTCAGCATGTCTGCAGATAAAACACATTCCCATCAGCTAAGAATCTGTCTTGCTCATAAATAATAGTCAGGAAACGATCTGGTTAAAGAGAGATGCTCTGTCAGCCGATTTAAATCCGAAACTCTGAACATAACCTGCTCCTGACCAGGTTAGCTCTACAGCATCAGTTGACATGGAGACCTAGCTCCACAGCATCAGTTGCCATGGAGACCTAGCTCTACAGCATAAGTTACCATGGAGACCTAGCTCCATAGCATCAGTTACCATGGAGACCTCACTCCACAGCATCAGTAGCCATGAAGATCTTGCTCCACAGCATCAGTTACCATGGAGACCTAGCTCCACAGCATCAGTCACCATGGAGACCTAGCTCCACAGCATCAGTTGTCATGGAGACCTAGCGCCACAGCATCAGTTACCATGGAAACCTAGCAGGTTAAAAGAGAGCCGTCTTCATGACACTGAAAACTGACTTTCGGCTCAACATACCTCGATAACCCACTGATCTCGCCTCGTAGTACAGGCCTGTGGTGTTTACGGTATCTGTCATTCAAATTTCAAAAAGTAAAGGAGTTGATCTTGCAGCAAACATTAGGCATGAGCGGTTAAAACTGCATTATCAGCATATGGAAAAACATCCAGTGTATTTTATTCAACGATTAATCAATTGTTGTTAATGTGCCTGACAATCATTTAGGGAAATTATTTCAAATTTGTATCCTCACTACAAAAGAGTACATTTTTGGATTACTCAGAGACTGGCTTAAGCTTTTATTTCAAATATTTTGTTTTTGTGCAGATATCTGAAAATATTTTACTGTACTGTTAATATACTTTTGAGTTTTGGTATAAAAATGAATATATATATAATACAGGCAAAACCCAGACTGATTTTGTTGCCTTAAGAAGCACAAATGTCACTTGCACTGTACTGTTACCAGTTTGGAAGGCACTGTATATAGTGAAGAGATACTGCCTTGGTAGTATGTAATCATGCTCAGATTTAGAGAGAGGCAGTTTCACTCAACAGCCATATTTCTCATGTTTAATGCAAAACATGAATCTACAAACCAAATCCAACTGTTGGAGAATTGCAGTGAAGTAAAAAGTGGGAGTTTCTCACTCAAATGTAGAGAAAATGTAAAATATCTCCCAAAAGCTTAACTTTCTACACCTCAGCTGACTGACTTGGATGTCAGCTTCCATCCTCCTCTGTATCCATCATCGGTGAGGCTACAAACGAAACACTTCCTGCTCTGATCTGTCCGACTCAGCGTATCAGATTCTGTGGAATCATCACGTAGACGGAAAAACAACCTTTTGAGGACATTTTGCAGCATATTGGCTCCGTTTCTGATGTTTTGGGCTTGAAATATTCTGCCCTCAGTGCAAGGTCACGGTGTAAACTCTGATAAGCAGACTGTAGTATGTAATACTAGGAACCCTCACTTAACATTTTAATGTCTCTGCTTGCTGCGTGACTATGTGTCACATCTTCAGCAAATACGAGCTTAAAGCAACTTCCAGTTTAAATTTGCGAGCAAACAAACGTTTTAAATACATCAAACAGGCAAATATTTGCTTTCTAGGAGTGAAACTGATTCCAGCCCACTGAAAAATAGGAGCTTTGGTGTTGTGTCAACGTCTTATCTAAGGCAATGAAGGACAGAAGAATCAGACATTTTGTTAATTGTGAATTAAATCAACTTAAAACAAATTACAGCCCAAACTGTTCTCTTGAAAGTTTGTGGCTTTCATAGAGGATAGAAGCTCACCAGTTCCAAATAACTCCAAAGTTAGAGAAAAAATATATGTTAATAATCGTTTGTACTGCATGTTCAGTGTGTTTTAAACAGTCTTGGCCTTCCAGCTAAAGCAGACAGAACCGAACATTTAGATCCGTGGCAAAGAAATGGAGGATTATGTGAAGGTTTTAATGCTTTATGGTTCTGTCAGTGTCTATAGATCCTCTCGTTTTTTTTTGTTTTTTTTTTACCAAGACCAGCTCAGGACTTGAGCCACTCAAATTATTCTCAGTCTGAGTGCCTTTCCTTATTGTCTATCTAATACAGATTTTTTGCATCTATTTTTTGTGCCTCCTTGGATTCAAAGAGATTTTCCAAAGATCTATTTTGGATCCGTTGCAAAAACACCCCTACCTACATTGAAAGCAGTAACCCTGCAAACTTTCAGGGGAGTTTAGTTGGTGGTTTTTCCAACAGCACAAAGAGTTTCAAGTGAACTGTAAATCTGAGCTAATCAATCCCCAAAAAACCTTTTCAGATCAGTGAAGATACCACTAAGACTACATACCTTGGCCCGGTTCGTCCATGGAGAAAGCCTTGTTTTCCATGAACATGTTCTGGGAGCTCTGTTCCTTCAGGATTGTCTCGTAGCCGACTCCTCGGCTCGGGTACAGATCTTCTCCAAAGTCCTGCTGGCTCTCATCACCACCGGTAAAACAGCATACTTCAGGAATGGTGCAGACGACAAGGAAGACCCAGGCGTTTGCCACCAAGGCGATGGCCAAGGTGGGATCGTCCCATGTCGGCCCTCCGGTCCGCTCGTTCCCGTAAACGTACATGACGATCCATGCCACCCAAATCCCAACGGAGAAGAGGCTCGCTACGAGGATGCAGACGCCTTCCTTCTTCCACTGCGAGTGTCTGCCCGCCATGACGGCCACGCTGGACACCACCACAGCCAGAATCAGGGTCATCACGTAGATCAGCGCCATGACAAAGTCCTGGTTGTCGATGTTGCAGGGCGTCGCTGTGGCTCTGCTGATTTCAGCCGTGGCGTTGAGCGGCCCCAGCGGGTGGCGAACAATCGTGATGATCAGCCACTCGGTGTTGATGACCACCTCCACCAGCCACAGCGCCGCCGCCCCCAGACACAGGATCCAAGTCCGGGGCCCGCTGTCCCGCCGGGCCAGGACGTTGAGCCTCGCCGACAGCATCAGGAGGCAGGCGAAGCAGCCGCCGAACAGCACGCCGAAGAGGAACCTCCGCGAGGCGCAGGTGGAGAAGTCCTTCCCCACAATGAAGGCGAAAGTCAGGCAGAAGAGGCCGGCGGTGCAGATCAGGAAGCAGGCGTGAAGAGCCACCGAACTCTTGCGGTTGGCTTCTTTGATGAAGGGGAGGCTGGCCAGCAGCGAGATGAAGAGCACGAAGGAGAAGATGATGCCGGCTGCCGCTATCGCCTCCACCACGATGCCCCACGCGGCGCTGAGGTCACACAGGTTATAGTAGAGGGAGTCCAACTGAGGGCCGCAGCCCCGAGGGGTGGCGTTGGCGGCCATGACGGCTGAGCTGCTCTGGGACTCACCTGTTCAGAGACACAAACAGGCAGCGACTGAAGACATCTGACATGAACAGATACTGACAAAGACTCTACGTACGTCACCACAGCTGCCGTCTACACCCAATCGAGCAAATATTACACTTGCATGAGTCAATACGCACAAAGAAACACATAAAGTTGAAACGCTTAACTGGAAAATAAAAAGCCACTTCCCTGTTATTCAGAGCTACACCAAGCCTCCAAAATACCAAACTGCTCTTTTTCACAACGTTAACTATTAACAGGATCGGCCCACAGATATTGTTTGTGTACATTACGATTGAGGAATCAATGCGGTGAAAGTGCATTAGCCCCCTGAACCCAAAGCAGTTTCACATTTTTACTCACTGTGGGCTCATTTTGCAACATATTTCCAGTATTTACGAGTCAAAATTTAACCGATCAGCCAAACTATAAAATCGTGTTTACAGAACCTAAAATATACCAGAAAAAAATCCCTTCATATTTAAGAAGCCTAAAATTTTAATTTTGGTTTTGGTCTCAGTTGCTCTAATTTGGCTCCATCTTGTGTAAACACAGCCTGCAGTTCAGCCGAACAGTCCCTGAATTTTTGCCATGTAACTGTTGGTCACAGCAGTGTCAGTCATGGTTTCTTGCTTGTACCAAAGAGCACAGAATTTTTAGTTTTTCACGCAATTTGGTTCATGCATACGCTTTATTTTTGGTAATTTTTTTAAATGAGACATCTGGAACAAAGTGAATTTAATTAAATTTTAAGTTTGGTTAAATTTCTCAACGGAACCAGAAGTCAAACATGATTCGTCCAATGACTGTCAGAAAGGTGAGAATTCAACAATTCTTTCTGTTACAGTTTTAGTCTTGATAAATGGTGTAATTTTTAAAAAATAATACATCTTTTAAACCCACCAGGGTGTTTTAGGATTCGGGGGCTAAACCTGGAGTCCTGCAGGTCGAACTGTTGTAGAATCAAATCAGAAAGTCCAACGTTTCAGTGTTTTCTACGGAACAGCATAATATCAGGGATTCATCTTTGTGAATAAACCACAGTCCGGTTCTTGTCTTTCTGCTGTGTCTGGCTGTTTCTCTTTGTCCCCGTCAGATCCAATTACACTGAACCGAGGACAGCCTCAGAGCCAAATCGATACAGGTGTGGTGGCGGATGTTCGGTCTTTCTGACGTCTGTAACTCAATCACAACATTATCTTTCTGGAACAAACCTTTTCTGTCTTTTCAGAAACTCAGATTAGTCTGGTTTATTGCAGGTTTGTGACCTTATCACTAATATGTTTGCAATTGAGGGCGTGATCTCTAATCAAACACACTCCCCACAGCGTTCTTTCTTAAGATTTCTCAAGTCCTTTCATTACCGTTGCCATGGAGAAAGTGTTTTATGGCATGATTGCAATTTCACAAAGCTCAATGTCGACACTCAAGGCTGATTTTTATGTCAGTTTCACACAAAAAATGAGCTTTGGCTTTGGAAATATCTACTTCATCACTCAGATTAGACCAAGGACTGGTGGTGAAACTTTGGGTTCTACAATGCAAAAGGTGTTCAGAGATAACCTCAGATTCCTGCTGCATGTCATCAAAACTACAGCAAATCAGTAAAACAACAATGAAACTCGACTGCTCTCCAAGAGCCTGCACTCAGAGGTCATTGTTGATCTTGGGAATCACAGTGAATAAACTGAAAGTCCATTTAGAAGCTGCTCTAGATCCTTAACTGCTCTCATAAAGTGCTTGTAAATGTTACAAATATTTACGACCTGAGACACCGAAGATTTCCAAAAGTCGACGGGTCAGTGTGTGAACATTTCTGTCAGTTAATTTACTGGGACTTTATTTGGTCATGAACTACTGGATAAGCTATGTCCTGGAATGATGCAAATCTTTACCAGACTTGTTTCCAATGTTTAATCACTTTACTACAAACTGACACATGAAATAAGATAAATCCTGATTGGTGCTTAAATGCAACGCGATAAAAACACAAAGCACAGAGACTGGAAGGAGCTGGGAGCACATTCTTGTAGCCCTAAAGCCTTTTTAGACGGTTATCTGACCCTGAGTTTGTTGCTATTATCAGTTAATCTATTATCCTTTCCCTGTCATTGTTTCAGTAGCTAATGTGTACAAAACACACAAGCCCATCTGTAATCTGCAGCTGGGTTCGATTTAAACATCGACAAGCACAACTTGACGTGTTAAAAACTGTTTTACAAATACTTTAGCATCCGGCTTATGAATGACCATAAGAGAAACTTTAACCACCGTACAGAAGACAAAGACCCTAACAAAGTGTCACTGCTGTCCTCCTTTGCTTCTTTAAGCTCCACAAAAGCAGCACGTGTTGATAAGAAGCAGTCTGTATTTTTGAACGAAGCCCACCAACACCAGTTTACTGTGTTTGTTTATATGAATATTGCAGCGATTTACGCCACTAAAATGAAACGATAAAGTAGAAAAGTTGGTCATGATTAAAAACAATATTCATGTTAACTAAGTCACTGAGTCAGGATTATGATGTAGTTCAACATTGGGACTGCAGTAGAACAAATTGTGGAATAATTTAGTAAAAATGTGAAATAAAAAGTCAGAATTTAAAGAGGAAAAAAGCTAAAAAATTGCAAATTATGAGACGAAACATCAGAAATGTGACTCACGATTGTGAAATAAGTCAAAACTTGACTTAAATCCAAAACTGCTACATAAACAGCTTAATTAATTCCAAGTCTTGACTTAGTAAGACAAAACTGCCTTAATAAGTAACAAAATATGAAATGCAAAGTGATAAAAGCTCAAAATTTTTGATTTAGTTGGTCAAAACTCTGACTTCAGGAATCAAAATATTTCGACTAAAACTCACAATAAACTTGAATTTAAAGTCAAACAATAAAAGTATTTCACAAATCAAGAAGTTGATTCATGAAGTCAAAATTCGGACACAAGTCAAGATTCAAACGTACATTAAAATGTGGATTTACAAAGTCCACAAATTGTGAAATGGATCAAAACATGAACTATAATGTTAACATGACTTCATAAAGCTCATCATTGTGGTGCTGTGTGACAAGATTTTGCTTTAATAGATGCAGTTTTTAACTTGTTTCATCATTTTATCTGAATTATTCACCATGATGACACTGATGAGAGCAAGTATGAGATTAAGTGTCACAAGTTCATTTTCTGTCGCATACTTTTGATTTACTTTTAGTATAAATAGATTTATTTTTTATTTGTTTTGAACATTTAAGTAACTTTTTATTTTCTTGGCACTGCTGGTCTTCCATACATGAAGCACGGAGTCTGAGCACAAAGACAAACACATAAATCACATTTACACGTTTGACGCACAAAGTGAAGCTTCAGCTCAGCAAATAAACACAAGAATGACCGCGAGTAAAGGCGAGCAGGGTTTTTTTTTTAAGTACCTGGATGTTGTCGGAAGACTTCAGCTCGTCGATCTTCACCTGCTTCAAACGCAGTCGGACATAAATCATCCGCAGCAGAAACTAAATCCCGCACAAAGAAGCCGCTCGATGATCCGGACGCTGCGCAAAGACGCACCGAAGCGCAAAAATAAAAGTTTCTGGGTGCTTTGACGAGCTTTTCCTCACGATGTGTCCGCCGTGATGCGCGCTCTCTCTCCCTCTCTCACATGCACACGCACACGCACACGCACACACACACGCTGCTGTTTCCTGACTAGTGAGGACATCACGTTGACTTCCATTCATTTCAGAGGCCCTCCCACATCCTTCATTATAGCAACACTTCACTGTGATTAAGAGTCTGATGAACTGATGAAAGAACTCAGGTTATTTTCAGGTCTTTCTCGTTTTATTCATTTATTATATTTTATTTAAACTTATCTCTCTCTCTCTCTCTTTTTTTTTAGAAAAGATTTTTATCTCTAGATTTTAGATTATTTTACTATTATCCAGGCTTTTCTCTTCATAATTTTGATTTATTAAGTTAAAATCTCAAATTTGAGCTTTAACCCTCCGAAGCATGAAAAACGGGACAGAATTGTAGATAATATCCAAGTAGTGTTAATTTTTTAAAGGTAACTGCTTCACTTACAATGGTTGACCATAAAATGACACACATTTTATTGTATTTACATCAGAAAATTTAGTTATTTTGACTAAAAATTAGTATCTTTAAAAAAAATCACCTTTTTGTATCTAATTTCCATGTTTTGTTGAATTACAGAAAATCTGTGAAATCCCAAGAAAAATGTATTAATCTGCTCAAAAAAACGACAAAATTACAAATAATGTCCGCGTAATGTCAGAAATCAGTTTTAGTTCACGGTGATTTGTTCTTTTCCGATGTTTGACTGTAAAATCACACATTTTCTTTCTGTATATAAATTAGAAAAATGTGTTATTTGACTGATTTTTCCCTGTTTTGTTAAATTAAAAACAATATCTGATAAACTCCCAGAAAAAAAGTGTTGATTTCAAAATCTGTAGTTTTAAAAACAGTAAATCATTTTTTATAAAGTTACTGTAAAATTACACCGTTAAAATGTAAATGTTCTGCTGAAATCCGTCATTGTTTATGTTGGTTTTTTTACAGTGAATGTTGCAGAATTACACTTTTGTTTACGGTCTGTTTTTCTGACACAGTTGATGCCTGATTTTCTTTCTTTTTTATTTTGTTTTGTTCTTTTTACTGTGTTGTTCTGTTGCCTAAATGCAATCAAACGCTGAGAGAAAAACACCGAGTGAAAGTCAACGAAAGACTTGAGTGACAAAACAAAACTTTAATTGTGGCCTGAGACTGAATGTGGACTTTAGTTCAATCACGAATGAATGAGGCGATAAATCATCTGCTGGACTTCTAGATGCTGGAGGAGATTCCTGACAGCCCAAATAAGTGGCACTGATAAGTAATAGTGACCATTTAACGGAATGATAAAGGTCCCTCTGTGTTGCCTTGAATCAATCAATCAATCAATCAATCAATCAATCAATCAATCAATCAATCAATCAATCAATCAATCATTCAGCTCAGGCTACTCACTCATTATTCAGCTTTCAGCGGGTCTACATGCAGGTCAGTGGTACTAAAATCAGCTGCTTGAACAACTACAAGGTGTTTTAAAGGTTGTTCATGTTCAGCCCTCATAAAAACGCCTTCATTCTCTGTCACAGCCATCATGAGAGCATCTCATAGAGCAGGATCTTGTGTTTTGTACTTCAGCTTGGACTCTTATCTTCATGGCATCATGTTTTTATACATGTAAAGGCACCAAATTCTGCACTTCCGTTGTTTTCACTATAATCCATCCACACAAAGCTTCTAAGTCCTTTATTTTTAGGCCACTTCATCATATTTTTTGTTTGTTTTTTTTGACTGAGGCTCGTTTTTCCACACATGAAGCCACATTTTAGGCCACGTCGCCCTGATTTACCCTCAACTAGCGCTATAGTCTTTAATAAGTTTCAGCCCAAATCATTCTTCCACTGGTCATTTTGCGTGTAAAACTATATAAACAGACACATTTGGAGGATAACTGGACCTTCTGAACGAGTGCGTGGTGTGTAGAGACATCTGCTGGTGGAAATGAGGATCAACAGAAGCACCAGACCAGTGTTTAAATACCACGAATATATCTTGAAAAACCTTTCTAAATCCAGCTGTCAGAAAATCTCAATGTGTATCTTTTACAGTGTTTATAAGAAAAAGGCTTTACAGAGCAGAACATCTGTCAAATTATGTCACTTTTATGTCATACATGCATAAAAATCAGGATGAAATCAGCCTTTATTTATGCATCAGTGGGGGAATTTGCAGTGTTACAGCCGGATAGGGAATAATGCACAAAACAGAGAGTCAGAGGTGCTGTTGATGTTGTGCAGATTCTTCTATATATTCAGATAGTGCACAGATTCTTTGTTTGTGGAAATAACAGTATTACTGAGGGTTAGTCGATGCACAGACACAGACGTTGCACAGAAAAAACACTTTCCCTTCAAATACGATCAAGTTTTCATCAAATGACAGATATGCATGAGCCGAAAAAACAGACTCATTAATTCTTTATGTGGTAAATATATTTATGTGTAATCTCTTGCAGATGTAACCTCATGCAGACAATCTGCAGCAGCAAACACGATTTAAACTGCAGCTGCATGTAGCAAACCAGAGAGAACGTCTCATAATGTCTCACCAACAGGTGGCGCTGCAGTAAAACAATAAAGCTGGAACCTCCTCAAACATTGAGCCACTGACAGGTCGGAGTTTTACCTTTAATTCACCTGGACAAAAAAATATATCCCATTGATGAGTATTTATTTCATTTGTCTGTTTATTACGGTTTTCACTCCTTTGATGAAATTTTTAGACTAATTTATGTAAAACTCAACCACTACAAGTACTTTAATCTTTTTGTTTCTATTTTTGTGCCTAATTTGAAGCAGTTTTGAGTTTTCTATAAATAACGTGATTTTATTAAATTAAATTAACCTTTGGAAGAGCAGTGTTGACAAAGACGATCTAAGATCAGTCTCATCAGTTAACTGTATTTCACAGTGTTTTATTATAAACATTAATATGAACAAATAAAGTGACTAGAGGTGGAAAAACAGGGTTAGAGTTGAGGTAAAAGATGTTGTACAATTATTCTTTATACACTGTAAAATAAATAAAGAAATAAATAAAAGAAGTCACAAAACTCTGAAAATCTAGCAGCCAGTAGCAGAAACATAAATATATAAATGATAAATGGTAGAATAACGTTCAGAAACTGTATACATTTAGTTTTAATTAAATAATAGTGGCAAATATCCATAAATAATTCGATTTTTAGATTTAAATACAACAGTTTAATTTTGTAGTCAAACATTGTCAAATAACAAATTATCATAAAATAAAATTACAAATCTTTAACATGGACGTTATTTGCTTTTTTTTCCATACACTTTTTTATGATGAGCATGGATCATGCAAATTATTATTTTTATATATAATAAATATATCATAATATTAATATTTTTTTAGATATTATCTGTAATTAAACAAAAAAGGGGAAAATTTGGCAAAAAAATAACATTTTAAAATCACAATAATCATGTTTTTTTTCTCCTCAAACACCAGTAAATATCTGTAAAATATCTTGTTGCTGATTTAAATACAGAAATAATAATAATGTCATTTTACAGAGAACAAACTGCCCATTAGTTAACACACACAGGTTTCATGTGGCTTTTATTTATAGTTCTTGTCTGATTGTTTATTTGTGTGTTTGTTTGTTTACATGTAAATTAATTCCTTTTTTTCTGACTTTTTTCAGTTGTGATCATTAATGTCACAAAGCTGGAAAATCTGTAAAATACATAAATAATGCTCAAAACAATGCAGTTAAAATCTCTTCATTTTTTTTTTACAGTGTGCAGAGCTTTAATATTTACACATTAATATTATTTTTTACCACCATAAGTGCATTTTGAAGCGCGTCCAGATGCAGATCAGCTATGATCCAGAGGAACCTGCCGTCTGGGTTGTAGTATTTAACAAAGCAGCAGTGAGGCTCTAGCTGCTGACTGCTCAGGAGCTCCAGTCAATCATTGAAGGACCAGTTCATGCAGAGGCTCACACTTGTTGCTCAAGAGCTGATTTTTCCTGCTTCATTTGCTCCGGCGAGGCCCCCGGCTGATCTCACGCTCTCTGTTCGGACGTTCATTCTCTCCTTTGAGCTCCTCCATCTGCTCTCACTGGAGGGAAGTGATGCTTTCAGCTTTCCATTCTCTATAATTAAGTCCTCCAGCGGGCCTTGGAGCCTCGCTGCCGTTCATCCAGGCCGGGTTTCTCTCCTCGCCTCCATCCATCTGGCTCCTCCTGGTCATCGCTTGTCTGTTTCTACATTCATTTATATCTGAAATATCTGACCTCCACCGTCTCATTCCTGAGCTCAGCCCACATTATCTCATCCGTGGAGGTCTTTATTTAATCGCTGTCTCCTTAAGTCAAACACAAAGAGCTCTTCCCGGAGCGCCACAGGGTCAAATTCATGCCTGCGTTTATATTTCAGCAGGAAATTACACCTGAAACCAAAGAAGTGCCACAGAAGAGACTGATGAAGCTCACTTATCAAAAGAAACCGAGTTTATTTTGATGCTTATTCTGAAAAAGATCCACCAAAACTACATCCTCTGTTCATCTCGTCAACCCCGTATTTACCTCTGTAATGTCCAGACAAGTCTTTTTACTAAGAAATCTCTTCAGAAGATCCTGTAAAAGCTGTCAGTTGCCAGTTTTTAAGAACTTATTGCATTCTTTTGACCTTTTTTACCCAGACTGATGTATTTTAAAGGGCGTTGACCCCTGTCATTGGACTCATGATTCATTTATATGGACGCAAGTTTGGTTTTTTGCTTACACCGTTGGTCTCAGTGTGGTTTGTAGTGTCTTTACATCCTCATGGTGATTGGACTGGATGTTTGACTTTAACAACCATTTGCATGATGGCAAGTGGGGAGCTACAAGGTTAAAGGGGATGTGACGGTGACGTTTACGTACCCAAGTGGGACGACCACATCTGAACTAAACCCAAGATGGCACAGCAACACATCTCCTGACATCCTTTTCCTATTTTGGTCATCACTGTTGAGGAGGCGTTGGTCTTCTTTGAAAGACTTTTGGTTTGTTGAATTTGTTAAATTTGTCTCCCCCTCATGAGGGGTATCTGGAACCGCCAACATACTGGACGTACATGTGTTAAATCTGCACTTTTGCTTCCCTGTGGATCCATTTCCAGTTCGTTCCTGTATTTCCTGAATGCTGAGCTTCGTCTTTCCACCTGGTTTGGTGGAAGCATCCCGAAGCATCACCAGGTGTTAAATCAAACCTGCTCCGACATCTCAGCGCCCCATTACGTCTTTAAGTGTTTGTCCGTCCATCTCTTCGACCCCCGCCGTCCTCGAGGTCTCCCACCCCCCCTCCGGTACCGTCAGGCAGCAGGAAGCAGCTTCAAAGCAGCTTTCGCATCCGCATCTGTGTTCGAGCTCTCAGAACTCGGCGGGAGTCGACCGGGAGGCGACGCACCGGGGACGGAGGCGGCGTCTCGTACTGTGACTGAAAACACAGCAAGGACGAGGAGGGACGAGAGCAGGCAGGTGGCTCCGAGTGGAAACTCTAAACCGGGATGGGTGGTCCGAGGAGATAATGAAGAACAACATGTGGGTAATATAGAAACTGCAGAGGAGGCTGAATCTTCGTCATACGGAGAGAAATCATGTTTGAACTTCAGCGTCTGACTGTTCTGGTGTAAACATTAAAGCTGCCTTAAAGCTTTCTGTGCAACATCAAGCTAACGGACAAACAGCTGAGACGTGTTCGCAAATAAGGGCACACATCAGCGGTGCAAAAAACTCTGTTTGAAACCTTTTAGAAAAGAGAAACAACATATTTAGTAGCGCAGTAGTGGCATAAAAATGTCATATCTGTCAATAACGTTATCTGGGTTTTTATTGCCTATAATGAAAACCGATGACATAATGGCTGGATCTCGCCGGCATTTACCAGCATCCAAACTGGGTCATGAAGAGTGTAAACCAGTGTGGCTGCAGTAACAGATGTACAGACGTGACTCGATAATCCAACACTAAATGTAAAACCTTTCTTGTATGTCGGATAGCAAGGCTGTCGGATTGTCAAGACGGAGGTCCAGATACGAGGAGGGCTTGATGCTGGAAGGACCATTAGTTGTTCATTATTGTTTATAGTTGTTATAATAACTAGTGTATTGTTAGAACATTACACATCGCTGGATTTCAGCCTAACTCACTGGTGCGCTTGTGCACGTTCCGGACACTTCCACCCCGGGGCAGCGCTCTGACGGGGTGGAAGTGTCCAGAACACACAGGCAGTACTTGGCTGCAGATAATACGCCGTCATCCTGAAAATGTCACGTTAGAGTCGGAATCCAAGGCTGTCGCTATGTTAAGGCTGTTTTAAATGGGTTCTGTTTGTTTTTCCCAAAAACCTGTCGGATAGCAGGTTTAGGATTGTTAAGGGTCACGACTCTTCATCGGTATCAGCTGATATCAGAATCACAAATTGAGAGTTGGACAATATCACCAATATGTAGTTATGTTTTGTCAGATGTCGTTTTCTGTTTTGTGCTGTTTTCTAATATGTTGCGTGATGATGTGTTGTCTGTTCTCTGATTTGTTTGTTTGTTGTGTTTTGTAAAACGTTGCTTTTTCTGTTTTGTTGTATTTTAAATGTCATGTTTTGTGTATTTTGTAATGCGGTGCTTTGTTGGTTTTGCTGTTATTCTTACTTTCTTCTTTGTTTTTTCACATTTCTGGTTGCCACAGCGTCCACCATTTTTTAACATACTTTTTCTGGCCCCCGTTGCTGCCAGATTTTTTTATTTTTATTTTTTTTAACAGGATTTTATTTAACAGTGGATAAAAATACAGTAAATCATTGACAAATATAGTTACAGCATTAAACAGTAGAACTCAAATTTTAAATCAACTATACAGTAAATAGCTTTTGGTAACAATAAATGTTGGCAATCACAGCATTTCATTGTATTTATCTTTGTTGGTCTAATTTTCACGACTACTGAGCGTAATTTTGCAGCAAACCCATTTTAGCATGTCTATAGAACTTATTAAACCTTTAAACTGTGTCTTCAGATGAAACCCATGAAGCAAAGTAAGAAAGACAGACGACGGAGGAAGATGGTGACGCTCCTTAGTAGTAAATATATTTAATCAGTCAGTATCTTTTCTAAATGATCATGAAATGAGGCTTCAGTGTTTTACAGAAAAGAACTTTAATAGAACATGTAAGTGCCGCATGAAAAATCAAACTGACAGCGTAGCTCGCTTTTTTTTTTTTTTTTTTACAAAGGCTGCAACTAAAAAATACACACATATCAACAAGGAATGGCTCATTAAAATCCTAAATCCTACATATAAATTAGCAGCTAGTAGGTTTAAGTGCAGTCGCGGCTCTCTAATCAGAGGTCGCTGATTCTCGGCGCAAATGGAAATGTACCAGCTGATGACTGTGTGCGTGCGTGAGAGTGTTGTGTTTGTGTGTGTTTGTGCAGAGCATCAGGCTAATCTGTGGTTTGTTTGGTCAGAGCGGAGGCCACGCCGGCTGGTGGTTCTGTTTGAAGAGGAAGGTCTTCGCTCCTGCAGCTTGAACAGTTTCATTCGAGGCTCCGTCAGGTTGCAGTTCATGAAAAATAAACAGTGGCCTCAGCAGCTGTGGGTTTTGTGCCTGAGAGCGGAGATTTCTTTGCTCGATTGGCTTTGCTCAGCAGGGACGTTCAGCATCTTTACACAACTGCAGAAAAAGCAGCTGGTTCGGATTAAAACTCGTTTTCCTCGCTCTCCGCTGCTCCCACAGTCAAGATGAAGCCTCCTTCAACCACACAGGGAGCAGAGTTGATGAACTCATTACGTTGAAATAACGATTAATGTTCCTCCTGATTCATTCCGTCTAAAATCAGCAGATTTCTGCGCAACCGTTTCTGATTTGTTTAAAATTTTTATCGCACAAAATACTGATATTTATAAAGATATTTTAGCTTACTATTTTAAATACGTCCCAGGATAAATATAAATAAATAAATAAGAATTGCGTGTTGGCCCACAGTTTTTGTTTTTGCACATTGACATTTGATCCTGTTTAAACAACAACATGTCAGAAATTATTAAAGATAAAAGCCTGAATTGTTCAGTTATGTCTCATCATGTCATTGATTAAACAAATAGAACATTTTGAACCATTTAGAAACTCCAGAACTGTACTTGCATCAGTTTAACTACCAATCAAGTTAGATCAGCCTGTGAAAACATGGTACGTTAACTTCAGCGTTAACGTGAGCTCAAAGATGGGACTTTTCATGATGCCTTTATGTTTGTTTGTTTTTTTTTCATTTCTCAACTCACCCACAATCTATTTCATCTACTTGTACAATCTTACAGATTCTCAGTCAATGACATGATGAGAAACAACAGTGAACATTTCAGGTTTTTAATCTTTCACAGTGCGTGCGTGTTCCTGAGATGTTGTTCAAACAGCCTCAGTCTGTGGGTCGACATGCAGCGGTCTTGGAAAGGACTTGGTACGTCTAAAATTTTAAATACTCAGCTTATGATTAAAAAGTTTTGAACAAATCAGAGACGCTTGAGCAGAAGGCCCTAAATGATTTCAGATGGACTCTCACGTTCCTCCTCCTGAGGATCTAACTACCGGATTAATCACAGAGAAAACAAGCTGCTTATTTTTTCCTTCTTTCTAATTAAAATTTGAAAAATATTGTGTCACATTGCTTCCGTTCATGGAAAAGGAAAAAATAGCTTCTTTAATTTTCAAGAAAAATAAATACGCTGCCTGTCATCTGATCTGATTTACACGGACAAACAACAGCAGGTCACATTTTACTAGACAGAAAACATACAGTTGGTCTGAGGCCCTCTGAGAGCTGCTGGCCGCCCTCCATGGTCGCGGCTGGAACGCTGAGCTGGTCTCTGGGGTCGGAGAGCTCCGGGACCGTGGGATGGCTGGTGTTTCTGATTAAAGGAGGGTCACGAGGGCTTCCTGGCCCTGCGAGGTGACAGCGGGGTGGACTCCCGCTGCCAGCGCTTGTTGTTCCCACTGTACAGGGAGGAGATGGAGGCGTTGGTGGGCGCCTGCTGCTGCGGCAGAGTGCGGCGAGAGTACAGCGGGCCGCCTCGGAGCAGCACCACGTCCCGGACGGCGCCGCGGAAAGGTTTGCTGACGAAGCAGTACAGGAAGAAGTTCACGGCCGTGTTGAGCATGGCCAGCATGTTGGACAGGTCGTAGGCCAGGTGGACCCTCCAGTCCCGGTGCACCGAGGACACGTACAGGTGGTAGATGACCACCACAGTTCTGGGCGCCCACAGCACTGAGAACACGGAGGTGATGGCCAGCAGCATCGCCGTGGTTTTACCAAGTCGTCGCGGCGGCGCCGACTTCGGCCCACATTCCTCCTGGCAGCGCTGCAGCGCCTGCCTCGCCCTCAGAGTACGAATTATCAACGAGTTCAACACCAGGAAGATGCTGCAGGGCAGGAAGTAGATGATGGTCACATGTGTCCATATGAGGACGGTGTCCAGCGCCGTGGGCGGGTGGCTGTTCCTCCACATGTCTGACCACCAGAAGAAAGGAACGCCCGATGCTAAGGATAACACCAGCACCACCGCGATGATCTTCCGGGCTCGTGCCGGGTAGCTGATCTGGCGGTGGAGCAGCGGGTGGCACAGCGCCACATAGCGGTCCACGGTGAGGGGCACAGTGGACCAGATGGAGGCGTGGTTGGCAGCAAACTCGGCGGCGCTGACGGAGTGCAGCAGGAGTGCAGGAACGTCACGGTGAAACACCGCCGTCTCCAGCAGGAAGCCGACGAAGATGATGAAGAGCTGCGAGAGAATGTCTGATCCGGTCACTGCCAGGAGGTAGTAATACAGAGCCTTCTTGGTGCGACACGCCAGCCTGGACAAGGCCACCGCTGTCAGGATGTTTACTGACAAATAAACAAACACAAATTACATCAGGTTAGGTCTTGGTGTCAGCGCATAATCAGTCGCTCATTTACAATTCAAAACTATACAAAAACTTTAATCCTAATGTGATGATCCCAGGAATTTTAAAGCTATCTGCATCCACACAGACCTCGTTGGAATCCTTCACTGGCATCTGTTGTCATTTGTAAACATAATAAAATGCTACTAACACTCCCCAGTGAAGCAGGAAGACTGTCTTAGTCTGGCCTAATTTATTCAAACACCTTTTCACTAGCGGGAGTTAATTAAGCTTCACAAAAATCTCTATCATGGTGCTCCTTTACAAGCTAAAATACGACAATGCCTGCCTCCTCTGGTTGCTACAGTATTAAACAGTAAGAGGCTCTACCTGGTGGAACAACCGGGTACTACAGCTGATCCACCTGAAGCGTATAACATCCAGGAAAATGGTCTCAGGAGATAATAAATAATAAATTACTTTCATTGAATTGGGAGCAATTTGAAAGAAAACGTGTCTTTATTGTAAAATGATGCATTTATCTTGTGTTAAATTATAGATAATGTCGAGTAAAATCACAGAAAGAAGGTATTAATTTACATGCTAACCTTACAATTAGGCCAAAGCTAAAAATATCTAGTTTTTGAACATTACAGCATTTTCAACATAACATATTTTTGTACCATTTTTTCCTACAAAATGTGATTTATTTCTGCCTTTTCGTGACGCCAGACTTCATGTAGTTTTATTTAGTTGAGTGCTGTTTTCCCTGACATAGCCGTACCATCAGTATCTAAATGATTTTTCAAAATTTCATGTTAGATTTGTGAGTATTGTGAGAATAAAAATAAAATTATTGGTTTACAGCTTATGTAAATGTTACAGTTTGGCTTAAATTCAGTTTTACCGTAGCTGCTGCTCTCTGCTTCTGTCAGGCACATTTTTGGAAAAACGTGGATTTATGGAAGCTGCTGATTTTATTCGCCTCCCTGCGGGACATCGAGCATCTCCTCTGTGCTGTTTTATTTAATGCATCTTGTCAGAAGCAAATATTTCCACTGCATTTTTGGATGACGGTCTGAGACCCCTTCAGGCGTACAGATGGTTGGTCCGACCTTTAGGTTTATCTTTCTCTGGGGACGGTTACGTGACACGACCCAGAGGTCATCTGAACGCTGTGGTGATGTTTGTTTTGAACACTGCTGTGCTTAAATCTCTGCTGGATCAATACCAAGTCAGCATCGATCTGAAGTAATGAGAAAAAAGCTGGTGTGAATCGGGTTATTTCCGCTTTCTGTCTTGGCGAGGTGTTAAATTTGATGCGGGGAGAGTCTGAAGGAGGTGTTAGCTGGATTGATGGATGGATAAATACTCATAAACTCTGATTATCAGATGATTAGATTATCATAACCTGTGAACAGAGGCGTCACCATGCGGCCTTGTGGCAGCAGTTTATTATCTCACTGGTCCATTACAGCACCAGTAATGCGCTTCTAACTCACTTTTCTATTGATTTCGTCCATCTTGGGCAGTTCAGCCCTTTGTGCTCAGTAAACTGTGGTTGGGTTCAGTACCTGGAACTCCCACGCAGAGCAGGATGCTGTAGTAGATGACGGGGATGAAGCCCAGCACACATTTGGACTTCTGCAGCTCCTCTGGGTTCAGGTCCAGCTCCTGGTGGCCGGACGCTGTCACATTGGGCCAGTCGATCATGACCTTCCCCTGGAGAGGAAAGATTGATGAAAAACTTCAAGGAGAGAAAGCGTACAGACGATGCATGAAAACGAACGTCCAGTTTAGTTTTTTAGTAAATATGCAGCTCTCAAATTTTGGAATGCATGTAAATGTTCACATTGATTTGCACAAATGACGACATTTACATCAGATGACAGTCAAGGTAAAGACAGAGACATGTCAGGCAAAGAAAAGTTGGGGTTTTGTTGGACTCAAAGGAGTAATCTGGTGATATTTTACATTTCACTCATTTGGTGACATGAATGTTTAGAGGAAAGGCCCCTTCATCGACCCCTTTGTGTTTCCATTGTGAAGTCGGCCCCCACAGCTTTAGCGTTAACTCCAATGGCGCCAAAATAAGAACAGTCAGCAGTTACTGGACGTAACTCAAGTTCTGTGAGCATGTGAACTACATTTTCAATTGGAGGGAAACGAAAACGAGGCCACTGCAAGTAGACGGAAAATACAAATACAATTAAAATAAACATACCATTGACATCGAAACCCAAAAAAAGAACTTCAAATGGGTTTCCTGAACCTAACCACATAGGATTGAGCCAGAATGTGACGGAAAATGGGAAGTAAACAGAACTATCAACCTGATGTTCGTCCCTCTTAGCCTTTGTGTTTCCACCACGGTGTAGACTCCATAGAAAACCAATAAAGACAAAAACCAACAACAAACCGATGCGTCTAACAACTAGCCTGATATCATGTCCTTTACTGCGACACATTGTCACCTAAAAACCTTTAAAGCCACATCAGCGAGCCTCAGCGTTCATCATCAGCATGAACACACACCGTCGTTTATTTTGACACCTTCCTGCTCACCACATGTTGGTTAATCCGCTGCTGAAAATCGTCAAGTGTTTTGTAGTGATTGCAGAGATTTTATTGGACTAAAATGTGCTTGTGAAAATGTTTTCGTTTAAAGATTTACGGCTTCAGTTGGAACCCGAGAGACACAAACAGCAGGACTGTCAGAGCTGTTGGTTTTGGTCATTTCTCATGTGATTTAAAGCTGCCATTTGTAACACTGGAATGAACTGAGGATGTAGTTCATGTTGGATTTGGCAGATGCAACTTTTAAAGGCTCAAAATGACTTGTGTTCAGAGTAAATGTCTTTTATTTTTAACTGATTTTGCACAAGAAATTAAGCCACTAAGGGTAAAGAAATTCTCTTTACAGTCGGACTGACAAACATCAACTATTTTCACTCGTAGTTCGTTTGAGTTAGTTTTTTAGACTGTAAACCACCTGAAACATCCTTCACAGTTACATAGAAGCCAATCCAGTGTCATTAAATGTCTCATTTTATTTCTTAAAATAATCAAAGATGAGGAAAAGCAGCAGATTCTTACATTCGAGAAGCTGCAACCAGACAACTTTTAATATTTTATTTATGTATTTGAAACCTGTTTTTAAACACCTAAAGTGTCCCATGATTTATGTTGCTGCACTCAGGAGGAAAATCAGCATCAAATACGATATTACAGGTAAAAATACACAATCATTGGCATTAAAATACATAAAGTCCTAAAAGGAAAAGTGCTCAGTGTGCAGAAAGGCCCATTTCAGAATGTTATCGGGTTAGAATATGTGTTGATCACTTAGGTCTGGTTTGTTTAGTTTGCATATTTCCTCCTGGGATCAATAATCCAATAATAAGGCGTCACTGCTGCTACATGTTCAACTAACAAGTTTAAATATTGACGTTAGGACCCTGTAGTGATATTTATGGTGTGAATAATTTACATATCGGGAATTAAAACCTTAAAACTGTTGATAAAATTCTACCTTAAATGCCTGTAATACGTATAAAGGCTAAGAATCGTGTTGTTCTGGATTACATTGTGTTATTGTCATTTAACTATGACCTTATTCAATATATATTACAGAACTTAATCTAACTAAAATTAATATTGAAGCTAAGACTCCACACGGTTATTAATTATAGAAATGAACCTAAATTAGAGCTGAAGTTTTGACCTGATAGAAACATTCCCTGGATCCCCGATGAGCACGCTTTGTTTCTTATTTTTATTTTTTATTTTAAATCATGTGAATTGTTTCATTTTTTTTTTTTAAATCTCTTTAATTCTTAAAAATACCACAAAATTGTATTTAAGCTCAGTGCTTGAGTAAATAGGCTATACTTATATACATTATTCGACAAATGTGTGTAATGAACGATGTTGTCGAGTCTTGACTTTAATATTTAACCTTGTTGTTTTAAAGGACTTAACTTTACAATATATCAGCTTGAAATGAATCGTCATTTTCAGATTATTGTGATTAAATTATGTTCCTGCGTCCTCAGAACAAAGTCAGACGAACGATGTTTGCTCGGTCAAACTGTGTCGTAAACTCCCGTAAAAGTTTGCTGAGTTTGAATCCGGCCGATTAAACCCTTCACAACAACAGATGTTCTGACAGCAGTGACCCTCCCACCAGTTTAACCTTTTCACCTGGATGCCCTCCATCCTGTTTTTCTCTGTCTGCCTGCTCTCCTAATTTACTCCACTCATCCGTGAAGCCGTATTTGGACTCTGTTATCTCTCAGGCTTTCAGCGACAAACCATTTGTAAAAGCTCAACCAACATAAACATCATCACGGAGCCACAGTCAGCCCATTCATGAATCTGTCCTCACGGTGCCAGCGGGGCGATCTATACCGATAACAGTTGGCCATATTTAATTACTGCCATTGTAAAGGCTATTTGTCCACCAAAACCGTGCATGTGCATCGTTTTCATGGCACATTTTATGGCCTGTAGCAGGAATGTGGTCATAAAATTGCAGGAGCATCGAATAGCTTCATGCTTGGGTGCTTTAATTCACCTCAGCGCGATAAAGTGGCGGTGGAGCCTGGCTCGAAACGCAATCAGACCAGATCAATGCAGTAATTCACTGTGAGGAGGTCAAACAGACAGAAACGACCTCCTGCCTTTCTTTAAATTCCCTTCAGATAGATAAGTAGATGCTTTATTGATCCAGAAGGAAATGCAGCTAAGCAACCGTCTCCTGATAAGACCTGTAGGAGCTTTTCCTGATTTAACTGTTGGCAAACTTTAATTTGTTTGGTCTGGCCTTTATGCTTGGATCCAAACCTAAATGGAACCTCCAACGGACCAAACGGCCAAACACTGGTCTGGCGAAACATGGTAGTCTCAAACTGAATCCTGGTTTGTTTTGTTTCTAATGCTAACACTTTATTCACTTTACTCAGTTTGAGTTTTGCTGGTTCTGACGATAGCCGTTGGCTCAAGGTGTGACTCCGGTTGACCGAGCAGAACCATGGCAGTAGATCGACTAGTGAAAAGGACTAATTTCCTTTTTGATGAGAATATGTGGATGATATTTTGGGATCTCCCCCACAAAACCAAACAATGTAAAATGTATCGAGAATACATCCATTATCTGTACACCACTTATTCCTATCGAGAATACAGTGGAACGAAAACAGGAACATTAGTCTGGAGCCTGGTTGAGGCGAGAAAAAAGGCTTAAATTTCAGGGAAAATGTTTGCAAACTTTCCAAGGACCTAAAGTTTCTCTCAGTCCTGTGTTACCTGTGTTCATAATGCTAAGTTCTCGCTCATGACAATATGAAACAACTGCAGGATTAACTCAGGTCTATGACAAAACTTCTCGTCTCCAGTTCCTTCTTGATATCTTTCTCTGTGTGAATAGTTCGTTCTAGGTATGTTTACTATCGCTGTAGCTCCATGCTGTTGTATTGAAGCACAAACTTGTCAAACATTAGTCGGATCGTGAAAAGCTGCATGATTGAACAATGCCTTTCTGGGAGTAAAGCAATCTGTCTAGTATTTGTATTTGGACTCTGGTTCTTCCAGAAGAAACACAGTTTTAGTTTCAATTTTGGGGGGGAAAAAAAACAATAACAACTCAGTTTTAGGGAAATTTTTGGGTTTAGGTTAAAAAACATTTTTAAAGTTTTGACTTCATAATTATAATAAAAAGTGGATAAGAAGTAATGACATTCAGTTTGACTCAGCAATCAAACAGCTCCAGCTTTCTTACAGCGTTTCATTCGCCCGTCCGTCCACCCTGACCTCCTCCTTATGGTGATGTTACTTACTGCTGCCACTAGAGGGTGCTGTCTCAAAGAGACATAATATTGGGTCATATTAAAGACCCCTCTTGGTGAAGATCTTTTTCTTTTTTTTAAATCTTGTTAGCATGTCCATATCATGTTGTTTACATGCCATGAACTAAATAAGCAGTAACACTGTGACTGAACATTCCCACCTTAAAACTGCAGCGTACTGATGACAGTTTAAAAACAAAAACAAATTCAGATTTCCGTGATTCCTATGAAACAAAACTAAGTAATCAATGCTGTCAAATGTAGATTGGGCTTCCTGAGTCATTAATCTGCAGCTTTAGCCAAAGTCCAAAACTACAACTGGCCATTGCACAGCGTACAGTATTTTTATTGTATTTGATCTTAGTCGTAAGTGAGCTGGTGTGCTTGAGCTGCAGCAGAAAGGGAAGAAGAGGATTAGTTTAATGGGAAAAAAGAAAACTTATGAATATGTGCTTTGGGGGTTAATCGATGCCTAAAATAGAGTTCAGTGTTAATTACAAAGTTTTTGTCGACCCGTCCGTCCACCTTGACTTCCTCCTAATGGCGACTTTAACTACTGTGTCCAGTAGAGGGTGCTGTCACAACAAAACGTCGCTTTGGGCTGTAATAAATAGCTTTCACAAACCACACATTTACATTGGGTCAGTCTCAAAGTTCACGGTGGGTGTTCTGGGCTTTAGATAGCCGGCAGCTGTCTGAGGACTGAGCGTGACGTATTTTGTGAATGAGGGAGCGGGATCAAGAAGGACGATACTTTGTGGTCGTCTCATGATGGAAATGTGTCCCAACAGACGAGCACATTTCGTCCACAGCTTCTAAAATTGGATCTGTGGCTGACATCACCAGTCAAAGGCGCTTGAAGGTCTT